TGGCAATTCCCAGGTTCTGAGTCCCCACGCACTCCCATATGCCTCTGAGTGGATTCCCACCGCATTCAGACCCATTGTCTTGCCTGTGCCGTTACACCTTTTAGCAAATGCAATAACCTTTTTAAACACTTTAACTATAAAAGTTAGTAAACTATTTATATGCTTTTAAATCTTTATTTTTATAAGCATTAATTATAACTTAAGTTTTAAGGTATTACTTAGAGTTTATAACTACTAGGGCTTATTATGTATAGGTAGTAGTAGTAATAAAGTGCGCAACTTTACATTAAGGCTTATTATAACTTATTATAGGTTAAACAAAACTAATTTAGCGCTTTAAAACCTTTTTTTAAATATTACTAAAAGTAATTATAGCATTATAAGCTACTTTAAAGCATAGTAGAAACTTTATTTTTATAATATAAATAATTTAGTTATGTATAAAGTTTTTAGCTTAGCGCTTATATACTTTTTTTTTAAAGAAGTAAAACAACTTACATTAAGTAGCTATAAAAGGTGTAATAAGTAAAAAAGTATATAAATAGTAATAATTTTATTGTCCGCCTGTGAAGTACGTTAGCTAATTGTGCACATCGCTGTATAATTTAGGGGAGCTAGACTGTCTGAATGGGGAATAAATCGCGTAAGGTGACATTGGTTAAGGCACAGGCCTTCGCTTCTGCGTAATATTTGCTGACTGCTTTAACACCACATAGCACCTCAACTGTGTGCATTCCGTGTCTTGAATTAAACTAGTACAGAAACGGAATTCAGGAAGTAGGAAGCAAAAAGGCCGGAGAACAGTCCTTGGTCGACAGCGAATTGAACAGGATTCAGACTTTTCTTGGTCCTATGGTTGTATGTGATGGATATTCATCGTAATAGAATACATAATCTCAAAAGCGGGACTCAGATTTAACCCAGGAATAATTTTTGAGGGGATAAGAGCTCTTGAAAGCGGAATTAGGGGCACGGGATTAGAGTCTTGTAATTTTCGGAGGCGAGGTATATGTGGCTAATGTGGGGCTTGCTCGCTTAGGGGATGGCCTTCCTATTTGGGAAGAGCCTAGGTTCGAGATCGATGGGATGAACATCGAAATCTGCTCTATGAATACTCTTACCGGAAGAAATTAAGATAGACGGCTGGGAGACGGCCGGGAGAATTTAGAGCAGATATCGTGAATGTTGCTGTTGAAAAACATACTGGAGCAGAACCCGAAACGAAAACGACAAGCGAGTATAACAATCACAAAAAATGCCAGCGCCCTACCAAATTTTCTTTTGAGGTTGAGAAAAATACCCTAAACCGCGCAAAAACTAGGGATGTTTTGCTATGTCGGTAGTAGAAAAATGGCGGCTTGACTCATACGTCAGTGCACCCTGAAGGAAGTCGAGAAGCTTGTTGAGCTCCTCTTGTGGCAGCTCCGGTATTGCAGTATGGACCTGAGATTCAAGGGTACGAGTTCACTAATACGGGGTATCGAACTACTAATGTTTCTTCCCGGGCTCGAACATCAGAGGGTTGACCCTATCTCGATATAAGTCTTGCCATGCTTCCAGGAAATCTCCAAGGCTCACGTTCACCATCTTAAGTGCCTCAGCGGAAGTACTAAAGAGGCACTCAAAGGTGGATACCTGAAGAGCGTCTCCGGGACAAGTAACGATACAGTTGATTCAAGTCCGTCTGAAGAACTGTCTATGAAAAATGTTTCCCTAAAATAGTTAATTCCGGCATTACTAGACAAAAAGATGAACATTACAATTAGAGCAATTAATGGGGCTAATTATGTGTGCTAGGGCAAATAATAGCGTAGGTATCCTAATATACAGCAGAAGCGGAGCCGTTTATAATTCTTTTAAATGCTGATGTCTCGGTTTCGGACCACTGCTGAGGACTTGTGAGTTCAAAGAGTGCGTTGGAATGCGTGAGATCTGGAGCTTGATTAGCGGGCTTCTTCAGACGAATTGGAAGCACCTTTCACTGTGACATGCACCGGCAACATGAAGACTCTCTAGACCTTTCGCAACCTATTGAGCGGCTCACTAGCCGAAGGGCGGTGGAAGCCGTTTGCCGTATAAGCTTAAAGTAATCAGACTCGATCATACCATATCCAATACGAAGCGGGTATGGATTCAATCTGGGCCAGTGATAGTCAATTTGTGTGGAATATTTGTGATATTGAGGTGGTCTTCAGCCCATTTAAAGATGCGTTAGGATCTCAATTTTCCTATCTGGAATGTCTACCATCAGGATTTCTAGAGAGACGTATCGTTGCACACTCAACACATGGGCCATTCAGACAGTAGCAAAGCCTCCGTTGCCGAGTTTATGTACAGTCATGTGTTTGTGGTTCAGTACATCACTCAGGTTAACAGGATGGAACTCGCCCTGACCGTGCATATTCACGTCCTCAGTGCGGACCAAATCTGGGTTGCGAATTTCCAATTGGAGGCATGTGGTAGTGGCAGCGGCGGCAAAGTTTAGACAGAGACATGAGCGCAGTTGGTGGTATCTTCTGAGAGTCTTGAGTATATGGCCGCCACTGTCGAGAGAATGAAATCTGTGCAAGAAGCTGAGATAAGTAGCCTGGATATAAGTAAAATAGCTACAAGAGAGCGGAGCATGTGTTAACGAAGTCAGTTTAGTGAAGTCAAGAAGGGCGGGAAGACCAAGTGGAATGTGTTACGGAAATCGGGCGGCTCCTAGCGAATGCGTCGTACATTGTTCAGCAACGCTCTCGAATGTTCAGTGAAACCCCTTTTAAAAGAAAACAGGCACTTTTGAATATCAAACTGTGACTTAATATAGAAATCTTCCTAAGTTTTGTGACAGCAAAATTCTTGCGGAAATCTTCATCTTGCTTTAGGAGTGAACTTCCTAACTAGGATGCACGTGGTTCGGAAGGGGCGATAGGACCGACACAAAGGAAAACCAGCACCACACCTCCAGAACGCGCCACTGGTAAAACTGGATATAGAATTGAAAGGGGCGTTCAAATGAGGCGTAGGTATCCATACGAGTCCAAAAGTGTCTGTATAAATCGCCCTCAAGATCAAAACTAGACCATTCCATAATGGTATTTAATTGTAAATATTGATATTCACAAACCTGTTGAGAAAATAGAAATAAATAAGAGTATTGGGGAACCAATATAAAATACAATCGACCCCGGCATGAAAACCTACCAATCCAAATTTCCCAAACCAGCCAACCGCTCTCCCCACCCCCCTCACGTAACTGCCGCATCACCTCACCATTCCCCAATAGCCTCATTAATATCTAACCATCCATAAATACAATCCGCTATAGCCCAACTCAACCAAACAATCTGCAAGCCCACTTAAAGACTCAGCCGCACTTACCGCAGTGCAATATCGGAAGCTTGGTTCTCGGGATGCGCCACCATTCCAGCATCCAAGGTTAGACAGATGGTGATGCTGTGAGCAGGATTTTGGGAACTTGCGAGAACAGGATGGGAACAGATGCGTGATACGTGTGGAGATGAGAGGAGGGCATGATGTCACGCATCAAACGTCACTTCCTTTCGGGTCCGACACGGCCAGGAGGGGTAGCGGAAATTCGTGAACCTTGTCCGTGACACTCCAGCATCATCGTAACCGTCGCGTCTTGGAGAGCACTGAAAAGCCGGGACGTTTGAATGTACTTTACTGCCAGACGCTCAGTGGTACAGAGCCGTGATCATCAGCCACGGATCCCCCGTATCTCATCAATTTACCGCATCCGCATCCGCATCCGCATCCGCAGCTCTCAAACCCGTGATCTACAGCTTCGAAGAAGCAACAGTGTTCGTCCATTGCTCACCTCATATCTCGATTAACTACACAATCTGGCCATCTCGCCAAACCCCTGCCAACTGACCACCTTTCGATATTAAAAACGGTTTTGCAGCTCCAATAGATTAACTTGTCCCCACCACATCTCCCTATAAATGAAAATATCGTGGCGTGTAGTAAGCACAAACGGTACCCGTTCCGTTGTCTGACCGCAGCCTCCTCCGTAGACCGAAAACAGCTGGAGTTGGAGCTGAAGCTAAGGCGGTGCAACCACACCTTCCGCCTCTTCCAGCTGCGTGTGGCGAGGATCTCCCCACTCTGCGTATGTAAGCTGCAGAACTGCGGAATTGGTACGATGGGGCATGCATGAAGTTGATGTTAAAATAAGAATGTCGTCTTACCTTCTCGTTCATGGCTGCATATCCATATCGCGACGCTGCTGCACTCCGCCATCACACTACTCTCAATCTCGACAATGTTGTCGCGGAGGAACGCCGAGATTGTTGAGCGCTCTCGATTTGCGTTTCTACTTTGGGACCGATGTGAGTGATCTCTTCAGCCGCCGGCGCCTATGCAGACTTGACGGCGGCGGCGGCTAGATCGCCCAGCACGTGGATGAGGACAACGACTCCCCCGTTTCACGACTTAATCTGAGTTGCCTTCTTAGGACGAGGGGGTAGAATATCGGGCTGGATTTGTAGCAGGATATGCGGGTTCCGTATCAACCAAAACGCTTGTTGGAGGTACCTGATATCCGGTACCGTAGTAGTGAAGCGAAAACTCTGCGTACTGGCTTCCTTGCCCTGGGTGAATTGAGTTGTGTTGAGGAGGGGTAAGTGAGTCCAGCGTTTCGGCGAATGCAGGTGCGTGATCAAAGACAATGGCGGGGTGTAAGCGCGATGCATGAACCGCCTCCACATCACACTTGAATCGATGTCGCCAATGTTCCCTCTGCATTTGATATCTGAGCCTATCGATAGATATGACAGGCCAAGGCGCTTACGGGATATCGATTCTGGGCATACGAAAAGCAAGAATAGACGTAGGAAATTCATGCCGACTGCCTGGGGGCTGGCCTGCTGACCGTTTCTGCGACCCGTAGGGCCAAGATGCGGATTGGTCCGCCATTCCCGGGAGACCTTGCATCGAGGCCGCGATGATTGATCATGGGCGTCTCGGCGGGCTCCGAAGAATGTGTGCAGTGTAATGATGATGCGGGTGGTTGGGAATGGGGGAGCGATAATGCTCTTGTGACATGTCTCCCAGCCTTCGACCTTTTCTTTGGTGTTGAGAGCACTGTTCTGGTTGGGGCATGAACTTGCCTGCGGGGTAAAAACCGGCTTGCAAGAATAGCGGGGTTGGGATGTGGTTGGTGGAGCATGGTGCTAGGAGAGGGTTGGCACGGATGGTGAAGGGCTTCTTTGGCGTTTGAAACACTGGGCCGTCGCGATTGGTCTCTGCGCGCATGAACGGCTCAACAGGACTCGCGAACCGCCGGAAGAAGAGACACCGCGTGGAAAAAGCGCATCCCTGAAAAGGCGGACTTGCAGGCGGTGGGTTGAGCGGCCTGAAATCGCTCAGGCTCTGGTTTGATCATTGATTGGACCTGAACGCAGTCACACAGAATATTCCCAGCTTTGCGCATCTTTGGAGTGACCCCGGAATGGGAAATGCCGCTCAAAGGTCATTTGCGCAGTGGTGCGGAGCAAGTGGTAAGAAGACTGTGTGATGTCGGTCGCACAACAATGCCTGAAGTTAGAAGGAGGGCCTCGATAGAGCCCAATTGTCAAATTAGGGACTTCAAGCAGCCCGCAAACTGCCGGCAGAAGAACTGCACATCTTATTTCGTCCAATCTGGCCAGTCTGGACACTCCTCAATCAGCTCGTGACACCCTCTTTCCACAAGGGTACCACCAGCGATGGTGTCCTTGACAGCCGGGTCGTGCAACTGCAACATTGTGCGACAGCCAACGCCGTTCGTCCGTCCTCGAGTCTTTGATGCTGTGGGTTTGGGGGCGGAATGTCTGAAAAGCAGGAACACATCCTTCACATGCATCCCATCAAACACTGCTGCCTGGAAGGATGTAAGGGGTTGGAGTGACGTCTGTGAAAGATCGCCAAGAAGGCCTGTCCAACCGTCTTATTGGAGCACAAGACGCGATATCGAACGCCTCTTAATATCGCGAGCGCGGTGGTCGGGGAATGCTGATATTCTACCTTGTATGGATAACCTGGTGTCGCCTCCGTGTCTGGCGTCCATCACCATTCCATCGGATGGGCGATGAAGCGTTTCTGGGCCGCCTTAGGTCCCTCGACGCGTGTTTTGTGGTCCCCGAGAGTGATGCCCGAATAAGAAGATTAGTTAATGGGGGATGACAGACTGAGATGAAAAGGAGTGGTGTTGCAAGGCTGCACTGCACTCCCGTAAGACAAACCAAAGAAAGTTGATTCCCGCGGGTTACCAAACCAGTGGTAGACGACTCCACACCACCAATAGGCTCTCGTAGCAGCCAACAACGTGTCTGTAAAATGTCTCTCTTCGGTCTCCTGTAGATTTGGAAACTTGCCGAATGAGAAGAAGCAACCCTAAAGATTGCGATTGTGCAGCACCATATCAACGGCCGCGGACATCATCTCATCTCGCGAGAAACACCCTCGCAGGATAACGGGCGGCGGGCGCTATCGATTGCGTTGCGCACCCTCTTCCCTCCCGCGCATGCATCGGGCTCTCGTTCGCTCGCCGCTCATCGCCTCGTCGCCTTTTGTCAGCCGCCCAGGAGCTCCAAAAAGCAATGCTTGCACGATCGCGGTTTGCTTCTTCCACGCAGCCTTCCATGCAGAGCGTGCGTAAGGCTGAGATCATGACTGGAAGATCGCGCTGGGATGTTTGTTGTCGCCGAAGGGGCGCAGCAAGAACCAATGATACAGAGTCCATCCTCATGCAAGCGCCTCGTTGAGTTGTGATATGTTTTGGTGACTGTGACAGCCGGTGCAAGCGCATCCGTTGCGACTCAGAGCCGGCGGCGAAGCCTTGGGGGCTGGACCCATTGTTTTTTGGGGGCAAAGGGTGTGGTGGGACACGGTATCAAATCGTTGGAAAAACAATCAGTGGTCCTGGAAGTCTGAGACCAATATGAGGTTGTACTGTGCAGCCTGTGTTTCACCTGCCATGTGGGAGTGCAGGGAGTGCGAGAAATGACAGAGGGTTGGCGAGTCGCCTCAAAAAAGCACATAAGATAGCAGCAGGCAAAATAAAGGAGCCAATGATAATTGCTATAATGGTATAAGGTATAATTTTGACCACGAGGTCACCATGGGATGGTTCATCCCATATCTAAGACACCACCAAAAAAAAATAAAAAAATTCAATCTGAAGCCAGCCCAGACAGAACACCATTGTGAGAAGGAGAGTGAACATGAACGAGAGGGGGATATCCTTGCAATGAAAACTTTTCCTGTGACCGCCGCCCCAAACCCAGATATCGCAGATGCAAAGGATCGCTTGAAACGACGACTTGAAGAAGAAGACCATGTAGAGAGAAGAAATCCTGGCTCCATGCCCCTTTCAATCAAGTAGCCCTCTTGATGAAAGCCGCCCAATGCAGTATCCCCCAATCGTCGAAAGCTAATGTTACAGTTTGATCGTTCATCCCGAATGCAAGAAATCAAAATTACAATATTAACAGAAATGAGCGCACGGGTATCTCGCAAGAAGCAAGCAGTGCAAAGAAAATACCGGTTCAAAATTCCAGACCATACGCCAGCGCGACCCGTCTAGGCAGAAGGATATCGAAGGATGTCATCGCAGTTGGCATCAAATCGCATACTCCACAGACGCATACCAGTCATTAACTTCTCCGTCTTTTCTAGTTCGCGGTCCCGTCCGAAGATAGAATTGACAAACTCGCAGCCACTGTTCTTGCCCATCGAGACGGGCTTCTTATCGCCACTCTCTTTCTTGGCTGCTTTCCACATGTAATCTTCACAAACTTTGAGGAGTTTAGCAAAGCGGATCCAGAGACGCTCGCCACTTTCGAGGAAATCTTCGACCATTTCGCGGTTTTCCTGCTTGCGGATCTTAGGCATAGTCTCTTCAGCCCTCTTGACTTTGCCAGCGAGCTGGATGAGGAGGAGCCAAAGCTCGCCCGCCATCTCAGCTAGTGGCGTAGCTGGGCCGTAGTGGAAGACGGTCCAGTCGTAGATCCACTTTCCGAGAGAGTTGGCGTCGAAGACGCTTCCTAACAGCATGATAGGTTCTTCAGTGGGGTCCCAGTTCTTATACGAGTAGCCAGCAGGAATGCCGGCGCGACGCGCATCCTCTTCAGTAGCCTTAGGTGTCGCCTTTGCCGTCGAAGGTCGCTTTGGCGTTGTTGGTTGCGGGCGGCTGGAGTGGGACGCACGTCGTGGTCGAGCAGCTTTCGGTTCTGATTCATAAATAGGGACCTGACCATAAGAATAATGATGATCAGCGTTCCCGTACGTCTCATACCGTGCGTATTGTTCGTAAGGCGGCGGCGGGCTGTCGTAGACGTTGCTGTCGTAGACATATTCGTAGTCGTTGTCGTAGACGACATTGGTGTGCACATATCGTGACTGCGACGGTCGGGTATGCTTCCTCTCGCGATGGGAGCGCTTGAGAGGTGGAGCATCCGACTCGCGACGACGCCTTGTTGGCCGAACGTAATCGAAACCACTTACATATTCGGGGGTACGCTGTGGTGTCGCGTAGTATCGCGGGGACGAGTAGCCCTGAGGATATTGCGGTGGACCTCCACGAGGGGCCTCGTAAGAGGAGTAGGTTGGAGGCACCGCCTGGGAGGCTCGTCGCGTGTGGCCTTGACCCTTGACCTGAGGCGATGCGCGAGGGGACGGCGTCGCGGTTTGGGAGGGGTATCGGGGAGAGTAGTAGCCGTGGACGCCGGGAGCAGGCGACACAGGCGGCGTGCGCATGTAGTCGAAAGGCATGTAGAGGGGGGGAGGAGTCGGATAGTGAGGTTGTGGTGGATAGTTCATGATGTCGCGAGGAGACACTTGTCGAGTGCCGGTGGAATGGTGGGTGAGGGCGCGACGGCGCGAGGGAATTGGGGTGCGTGGGGACCAAGGAGGGCGGGGAGGGCAGGCCGCGGCGCCTGTTCACCGTGGTGACTGCAAACCGTGGGTGTGTCTCTGTGCGCGGTCGCAAGATGTAGATGTGAAAGTGGGAGTAGCAGTGGCGGAGAGAGAAGAAAGGGAAATCCGGTTCTGTCTTCCGCACATTTGTTGGTACTGCGAGTGGATACTAGAAGCTACTAGAAGGATCCAGAGGGAGGATCCTGAAGTCGTGGAGTGAGACTTGACGGCTGCTGCTTGCTAATGCGGTCGATTTTGGTCGAGGGTCAGAAGCCGGCACGAACTGGGCGGATGTGTCCAGTACAAGTACTGCACGCCAGCAGGGCGAGGGCCCTGGACTGTCCGCGCCCGGAAAAAAGCCACACCCTGATACCCTCACCGCTGACGCACACGCCCCCTAATCCCCGATCGCAATCCCAATCTACGGGTGGGACGAGCCACTGACTCCTCGATATTGCGGCTACTGGTAAAAAGTATTCTTGGGCCGCCGGATTCAGCCCGCGATTCGTCGCCGTCTCTGACTCTCAGTCTGGTCGCGCTTCCCTGAAGGACCAACGAGCTGTCATATATCTTGCGCTGTGAAGTAAGGCAGCAGGCAGACGACGGCGACGCAGGACTCACAATGCTTCAGCCTCGCCCGCTGTAATAACTTATGCTGTTATGTATTTGTTCTGTTTGGGGTAATATTGGAAACATATCCACGCCTTTTTATATACCCACGACCCTGGACACCCTCCCCCCTCCAGACTACCCATGTGGAAGGTGAGAGAGGCGTCGTCTGGATCCCGCCCGACGGTTCTCCTCCATGTAAGCAGTCCTCTTCTTCCCCTGTGCACCCGCGAAACCCCTTTGCTGTGCACAATTGCTGTCCACCTTTGCTGTCCACCGTTTAACATGTCCTGCAAGTGCAGCACCAGCCGAGACCAGCGTCACCCTGTTCTCCATAACTCAGAGTTGTCTCCACTCTTGTCCTTCACGAACATGTCTCTGAAGCAGCCTGTCCTGCCATGGACATGACAGAAATTCGTTAATGCGCCAGGCGACCCACCTGCGCTGATGAGCTTGGTAGACGATCAGAGCACTCTCTGGCACCGGCATTCTCCTCGCCCACATATTCCTCCCACTGCGACGTACCACAGTGTCTGCTTCGGCTGCCGAGGGTGAATGGACGCCATTCAGCTTTCTTCGGCGAAACCTCCCCTGGCGTGCTGAGCCGCAGTCGTCAGTCCCCCCGGAGGCCCTTCGACTCGTCGTCTCGTATGTCAAGCAGCCCGTCGTCGCGGGAAGCAGCATGCTGGATTGCTCGGGCTTGGGGAGCCTCCCATCCGAAACGATGGAAGAGCGACTGGCGCTTTGTCCACTCAACGGCGCTTGTCTTTGCACGGACGAGCGCTGGGAAGGCCCTGCTGCCGTTGAGCTGAGCCGCACTCTGTTTTGCAGCGCTGCTCCGAGCCTCTCTCGTATGGCTCGCGACATGGACCGCCCAGCAATCTCCGCGCCGTGAAAAATTTTCGTCGATAATGTCTCACAATATCTCGAGGAGTCGTTGCTGGATGCTTGTATCATGCTGTTCATTTCTTTACCGCAACTCTGCACTCGAACACCACAAGTCTTGCAAAAGACCATATCAAGCCAGTTTGTAGGGTGACTGTGGCCCGCCGCTGCGTCCAACCTGCAGCGTCTCTGCGATGATTCGACGGCGACGGAAGAACAACACAGCACTGCGTCCACTGCTCTCTATGTGCATGGATGTGATCTTCCCGCTCACTGCCAGCCTTTTCCCAGCAGTCGACTCTAGGAAGCATTTGACTGGATAAAACGGAGCGCCACCAGCCGCGCAGTGCATGAAGGCTGCAGTCCGAGCCAACGCTGTCTTGTTTCTGCCGTCTTTTTCTGCCTCCTCTCATTTCTGTAAATCTTGGCCCACAATCATTTCGAATTTTGAAATCTACATCCACTCACCCCTATTGGCTCTGACTCGTAGCTTATCCCTGTGGCGCTCGACGGCTCTCATTCCTACCGGCACACATAACACATTTTCCACTCCAAAATTTTCTTCCACTATCAGCGACAACTCATCTTGCGTATTCTCTGCGCAACACGTTTCTCTGATTCATCGGCTTCTGGTTTACTCCACTCTGCGTACCCACGTCCATTGGCCTCCGTTCTTGAACCTGTAGAGCCACCGGCAATGATATGATGTAAACGGGTTCGGGTGTACGCAGAGTCGCCAGCCCTAAGAACAGCTCGCATATCTGGCGGAATGTCCGGGTAACCACGTTTGCGCGGCCACGACTGCAGCGCTGGCTGTGTATGCTGCTGTAGGCACCCTCTCGCTAGTTGCGTCATGCATCTCACTGCGATGCCCAAAATATTTCTCAGCGCGCTCAAATCATGAGTGAGATTCGTTTCCCATCCATTCGCTTCGGCGAGTTGTGGCGGTGCAGCTGCCGGCTTTGAGTCATCCCGATCACGTGTCAACTATACAACTTTCTTTTTACGGATGTTGCGAGGAGCAATGGGTAGCAGGCTCCGCCTCATTCCGACAGACAAATCGTCGCGTGCGATTCGGAGTCTTTCTCGCCGAATAGCCACATCTCCCATGTCCTGCGCCATACTTGTTCGCAAATCACTGTTCAAACAGCCGGTATGTCCGGATAACACTTTCAGCGCCAAAGGCTCCAAAGCTGCGTCGCATCGCACGCGCCGGCACAGGGTCAGCTCACGCAAACGACGCACATGACGCGCAATGGCTTTATCGACATTCAATTCGACCGACGATCCAAACATCTGCCAATTCAAGCGAGCTCACCCCAGACTTGCCCCTCCGGCTTTGACTCCAAGACCCTTTCTTTGGTCTCGAAACGTTCGAGGTTTGACCAGGTGACTTCATTAGCTACCAGAAGTTGTCCTCTACGTCCATCATCCATGGAGATATGAGGCGGACTTGCTGCTGAGGCCGGTCATTGCAGAGGTCATTCAATTATATGGAGATCGAGTCACAGCATGTGACTCACGCTTCATTGGAGGACATGCAGGCCTAGCGAGGAGAGGGAGATCTAATTGACAAGTATTTGCTGGCGCTTCATTAGATTCGTTGACCAAAATATCGGTACTCAGGGTTTTCTTTGCATCGCCACACGCTTTCGCTGTTCCTGAATCCACATTCAGGGATCATGGGACTCATTTGAGGCTCATCTCAAACTTTGATCTCCTCTCGCAGCCCAACTTCAACTTCGACAGGCTTAGGCTTCCATTTCAGAGTTGTTCTCAATCAAAACCACCGTTACTTTCAATACGCCGTTTTTTTAACGTCGTTTTCCCTTTTTTTGTTTTTCAAATGAAGGACAACCCCTATCCCTGTCCTCCATTCCTCCATTCCTCCATCCTCACCGACTGCTATGATTCTTCATCCCGCGCTTAGAGGACCGCCGTCCACTAGCTCTTTCAAACTGCAAGGAACTATCACCGCTGACCGACGGCCCCCGTGTCCGGCTCACTAAACAAACCTCGCAATGTTCGGACTCGTTGCCCCTTTCGTACTTCGACATCAAGTCTAAGAGGCGGTCTATCGCTCATAATTCCTGGCACTGCTGCCTAGAGTTTGTTTGGACAACAGGCTTCCATTGACGCGGCCTTCCGAACTCAGATCTTGTGCGAGGACAAACCTATCCTAGAGGTGGCGGGAAAGTTGCATGCTGCAGGCAACCGCGTTGAGGATCAAGCTGAAAGGAGGACTCTCTTTGTTCAATTGCAAGCGCTGACAGCATCCAATGTTTCGCCTCACTTCTTGTCGTCTTACGCCGCTGCGGGATGAAGGCCAGTGTCAAGCGGTCAAAGGGGAGGACTCCCAAGGATAAGTAGATTGGCTTCACGGATGAATGCGGGCTGAGAGCTTCACCGCTCTCAAATTCTTTGAGGTATTAGGGATGCGAGCACAGGATGTTTAGACCTCATGAAACGTTAACAAGGAGACCTTGCACCATCAAACCTCATACAGGAATCTTGGAGGGTGTCGAGGGGATGCGGATTTCTAACCTAAGTGCCACTATGCAATATACACACAGTCCTTGTAGTGTGAGGGGACAGTAGAGAGCAGAAAGTTTATATTCTAACCCCCGCTCCCTATTCCCACATCATCCTCCTAACTGAATGAAAATTCTCACTCATATTGCAGGCCTCGATATCAACAGATCTCTACCCTCATGGGCCTCTTCTGCATGTCGACTAGAATGGTAAATATACCACGGAGGCTGATCGCACATTGAGGAGATACGTATTCCCCTTCTACTCACCTTGTACAAGTTGTACGAAGGTGCTGATTAGATGTAAGAACGCGGCTACACTCTGACGCCAGCATAGCATGACCTTCGTACGACATATGAACGCCTCTATTACGTATGATATACATAAAATACTTCCATACTGTGCTTAGAGCAACCCCTCGGACCCCATCCCCGTCCGTTCAAAACCCGACAGTGCTCTTGTCTTACCCGCTCAGTCACGTCGTCTCCCGGCTACACTCCGGTCCTACCAATCATCCACAACATCCAAATACATTTCTTTCGTATACCACATCTTACACCAGCCTTCTCCCGCACAAACTGCAACACCGTATCCTCCTCCAAACTGAATTCTCGTGTTCACACTAATAGCAAGGGAATTCGCTAACGTAGTATCAGTTGCGGTTCTACGGCGTACTTCGGGTAAGATGTATGCGAGTTGCGAGACCAGAGGCGTTGTGTTGAGCGACGGACGTAGTGTCATTTGAGGGAATGAGTGTTCCAACGAGGGTGGCCCAGAGCCCGAGTTGTCCGAGCCGAGTTGAAGTGCGCCTTTTGTGCCTGTGGGCGTTACGATGGGGTTAGAGTGTGGGAGGCTGCTGATGGAAAGGACGGGGATACTGGCTTGGGCATAGAGGAGTTCGTGTAAAGCGGTGCAGGCGGAGGCACATTTGTGGGTTTCGGGCTGGTAGGTGTTAAGTTAGTGAGTTGTAAGAAGTAATGAAAGATAAGGAAAGAGGAGGGAGAGGTTAGGTTAGGTTAGCAGTTGGGTTAGGATTACTAGGAGGATGTTTTCTAAGGCAAAAGGTTGCTCTTTAGTAACATTTATTAGGATGAGATACCTAGAAATAGAAAAGCGGCCGCCACAACCTTGACTTTGTTCGCTGTTGTACTGAGGAAATGTATTAGTCCAAGGAAGACGAGTCATCTTAGAGAAAGAAGAGACTTACATTCTCGATCACGTCCTCGTAAGCTCATCCTTTTCCGTTAATATAACTCTTCCACGTCCATCCACTTCTCTCCATCTTCTTTCAAAAACACCCTCTCATGCCTGAGACAAGACTGCATCCTGAAATTAGAATGCTTCCAATGGTCCTCCACTTTCAAATCCCCACCATCGACCAACTTGTCCACAATCTCACCCATCATTCTACACGCCACATTGTACCGATATTCAACCCCACAATACGGCTCTAAGTACAGGAAAGGTTGCTTAAACGTATCCGTTGGGAAGTAGATCGCTGTCGCCATTTTTCCTCACGTCGATAATAAATCGCGTTTTATTGTGGGGTCCCCAGCCTGAGAGAGACTGGCGGACATTTGATTGGAACTCAAAGAGGCTGCTGTTTTGGGTGGCGAAGTCTACGACGCTGTTTATATGCTAGATGAAGTAGGTGGGGATTGCGAGGACGGCTACGCCAGTATAGCTAGTGTTGATGAAGTAGCCGGATACGGAGTTGTGAAGCTGTTTGACGGCGAGGAAGGGAAAGCCGGTTAGAGCAGGGGAGATGGGATCTGTAGTATGAGTGGAAGGAAACGAGGATGATGAAGCGCAGTCGGAGTGGTTCTGTTGGCAGTCTCTGAAGCGAGTTTTCCGCTGCACGTTTTCCGGAAGATGTCTTTGCCGCTGTTGACGCCGGAGAAAGACTTGCTGAAAAATTTCAGGATTCTGAAGAGTCTCCGTGGTTTGGGCCGCCATGTGTTCTATAGTAAAAGGACTTAGAGGTGCCTGCATCCTCCATAGCGACCCCAGGGGGATTGACGAAAATGTTTCTGTTTCTCGAGTCTTCGTCGGCGTACGCAGTATTCACCGAGGGAGCGGAAAGATAATTTACCGGATCTTTGCTATTGGTGGATATTACCGGAGAAGGTTTGTATGAAGAATCGTTGGCGATTCGCAAGTTATCCGCAATGGTGAAGACTTCTAGCAAAATATATTCCAATTTCCTATATTGAGACGATTTGTGTTTCACCATCTCTTGCGAAACCAATGACCATCGCCAAGTCTACAAACCAAGTAAGATGGCTGCCATGTGCGCTTTGAAGCGGGGACGTGAAGGCGAGCTGGAGTTCATTTTCGCTAGAACAACATCCTTTAGCAACACTGTTCTTTATACTGTCCAAAGATCCGAGTAAATTAATTAGTTTTTGGCTTAGTCTAAGCGGTTAAGCCTTGAGTTGCGGGATTGTTGGTTGTTACTTAAGGTAAAATGTTATTTCATCCAGTAGTTCCTCGTTTCCTTGTACATACATCGGGACGGAGAGCAAACATTTGTATCCGAGAGATGTAGTGATAACAGTTAGAGCGCCCTGGCTCTGAACCGTACTGTTCGATAGTGCTAGTAGGTGCTGTGGAGGTGGTGTTACTTGCTGCTGGAGCGGCGAAAATGGGTGTGACCACCGTATTGATTACTGGCCATGCGTTAACGAGCATTGGGTATGGAAAGAAATATTGTTTCTGAGAGATGATTGAATTTAGATATCTGAGGAGTTGGAAAGGAGCTAAGGGGGCGAATAGAAAGGTGCAATTTGGGAAAGCAGCCGGAGGGCAGAGTTGAAAGATGTTTGAATGGTGATGTGTGACGTTGACAATCTAAGACGTCGGATATTGAATCCACCACAACTAAGCTTCATGGTTGTGGTATCCACACAAGACATCACGATTGAACTCCGTCCCCTTACATAGCCTAGATATGTAGAATCTGAACGCCAAATATCGCAGAATCTCTTCAAGCAAGCGTGCATTGTACTTTTATTTCAACTCCGAAAATAACGCTCTTCTCATGTTTCACTTACTCAAGTCTGCAGATCCAAACATATAAAAGTCAATTGGTGACGAAGAAGAGATCAGATTGTTTGCATATCCTGATCCCCGCCAGTTGAGGCCGAGAACAAATCCATGGTGTTTATGAAATTGCTTTAGCGGAGAGATTCATCGAGGAATGCGGGGAGAAAACTCACGATGACATAATGTTCTCCACACTGGGATCGCAACTGCGTTGTCGGAGGAGTTTCGTTCGTTGACAGAGACATAATCCATGGCTTTCGAATAGTGAAAAAGGGTGAAAAGGTCAGCATGAGGCCAAATCAAACCTCTTTCCTTTTGGGGTTTAGCCAAGTTCGCACTTTATTTCTACCTTCAAGGTCACCTTAACCGCCGTAAAACCAATTTGATTGTCTAAGGATAGGGTGGCCACACGCAAATCTTCCCATCTTCTTTATATCGGCCTTTGGCACCACTTTTCCATCGCATTCTCGCCTTTTTGTTCCCTATAACGGAAGACTCATCTCGGAACTACCGTGATTGGGCATCGTTAGTCTTATACATCGTCTTGGGAACTTTATGAGCCTCAGGTATAGCTGGAATACCATCGAGTAATTGCTGTGAGACTTGCAAGTCCCGTAAAGTTAAGGTAAGAATAATGACCTATCATGTTTGATGCTGGCTAGACTAGTGGTCATCTGCAGTGCGACGAAGCGTGGCCAGCTTGTGGACCATGCAGGAAAGGCCGTCGTTACTGCCCAGGCTTACCAACCCCTCGGTTCAGATTTATCGGAGACGATGATTCACCGAGTGATCTTCCAATCAGAGATGCTGGTCAGCCACAACAGCAGCATTCTCTTTGGAGTTCTGAGTTTGGCGAGAAGGTGGCGTCTGCATCAGCAAAGAATCTACATATTATGATGCTACAGTCTACGCAGAGAGATGGCGGCATGTTCCTGAACATGCGCCTACTTGATCTAGGTCGGAGAGTCTCGACTAGTAGCTCTTCACAAGAACGAACATCTCTTGTGCCCGGAAGTCCTGCATATTCCTCAAACGAGGTGCTAGCTCAAATATTATATACCATTCTTAATTGGAGTGACCCAGGACGAAGCATAATATTCATATCTACGGGATGTGGCTACGGGAGCTTCCCCAGCGATTTAGCGGTAGTCATGCACTGGATGCTGCTGCTTTATGCTTGGGATCAGCACATGAATCTCTCGCACGAGGAAATCATCCTACCACATAGCTGAACCACATGCTGTACGGAAAAGCACTGCAAAGTCTGCAAGCTCCGATCAACAACTCCGAAGAGCAATTTTCGCCCAATACCCTGGCAGCTGTGTCGGCGATATGGCGCGTTAAAGGAATCTTCGCCACAGTCGACAGGTCGCTTAAGCAGACAATTCATGCGAGAGCGTTATCTCACATGCTCAAGGTTCGAGGGATACGGAACCTTGACGACCCTCTTGAGTTCTTCCTCACTCTTGAATGTCAATTAGTCGCTGTTCAAGATTCGTTAGCCTATGACATTCCGTAGCACTGTATATTCGATTCTGAAGACTGGGATGTTGCATTTCAGCAATGGCGTGGTCAGTCCGAGTTATCGATGCGTTACTGGACTCTTTTGAGAGGATTTGTCAGATGACCTGGCCTAATCCACGACATTATTACACTACACCTAAATTCCAGTAATAGCGCCCCTTCTTTGGGAGACGTACTTTGCCGAGTCATTGCCGTTGCTACGAAGCTCGAAATCATACCTCATTCCATTGGTGTCGCACTCTCCAACCTAACGATTTTTATAACCAAGCCCCACCAACTACCGACCCTCTTGTTCCGATCGTCTTCGAGCTTAGAGATACGGAAATCGCACCGCTTCTTGGCTACCATTTCCTATATAGTATCCTAATTCACCGAATGGCCACCCATCTCTCCTCTCTTCTTCTCATCGATCCAGTATCAAGTCAGATGCTCGATCCTACCCTCAGTCCTACATATTTTTTTTTTGCATTTCCTGTTTCCATAGGGATCGATAATCCAAACGCTTTCTTTCCCACCAACCCACTACCTTCTCTCTCTCGTTCTAAACCACTCATCTTTCTCCTCCGAGTTAGAAACGTCCAGCTATCCCAGCGAATATGGATGATGTATTCTCAGGTGCGACTGTGGAAACCGATAGGCTGCCTTTTCTACCTCAATGCCCTCAAATGTTCGTTTCTGTGGGCAGGGACGACGGAGATGAGAGTGGATTCTGAATGCCGCGAGCGATATAGAGGACTTCTTACCAGAGAGTACTGGGTGAGAGCCGGGCAGAGTGGAGCTTTTATTTCAGAGCGTTGAGTGGAGAAGCTATGTGTGACCAGCTAGGCGGTGGTGGAAGGTAGGGCGGCGATGGGGTTTTGGTGGACTAGGAGAAGAGGGATTTTGACTGGTTGAAGGTTTGGAGTGAGGCTTAAAAGAAGAGGAGAGGAGACTGCCCCACTTCCAGGCTTATAATCTCAATAGTCACGAAAAGCGTTTGTAGATAAGTAGAGTCTTTCTTACACCAAAGTTCTTCGTCTAGTATATGCTAAAATGGAACAAGTTGCTGACTCTACAGACTTCAACTGGAACGAGTGACTACAATACGCAAACGAACAAGCCAAAACGAGCCACTCCTACAAGTTTAACTCAGCAATCTCGAGATTGCTGACGTTCGATCGATTCCCCAAATATGGCTCTTCCCTACCCTGACAACAGCTGCTCAGGTGTGACAACACCCCTCTTGAGCATGAGCCCAAGTGCTGGAAGAGGGTCAGAGCAGACCTCCGTTCTCTTCAACTTAATGCCTTGAAACCCGGACTCATCCTTGACATACAAGAACCGGAACATTCCCGCACAAACCGCATCCCACTCTTTACCGTCGAGATCTTTGACCTTCTTCTCACCCTCGCTTGGGGCGCCTGGAAGGTTGACATACAGATTCGCGCGTCCCACCATCTCCCATCCTTCGGCGTTCTCGGCGCACATCAAGCCTCGGGGTTCGTGCTTATGGGCAGTGAAGGGAGCATAGAGTGCTTTGTCGGCTGCCCAGGCGGCTTCGCGACCGTGGACCTCGGTGCCGTCTGATTTCTTAAGGACGAAGTCTTCGGTTAGGTATTGTTCAGTGGGAATATCCCAAGCGCGGTTGTCGAAGATGTTGCTGGTGAAATTGTACATCCAGTCCATTGCAGGGTGGGCTCGCATTTCGGCGGACCAGGTCCCTTCGTAGACGAAGACGGGCTGAGTGGGGAAAGTCATTTTTATAGCAGTGGATGGTGTTTGGCTTCGGTGAATCTGTGAATTCGAGAATATTGGAAAGGGGCTGTGGATTGACCCTTGAAGAGTTGTTGATTCAAAGTGCTGGACCGTTGCTTCGACATGGGATTGAAGAGAACTTTATATTTTTGTTATTTTGTTCAGCTGAATAGTAGCTGAGATCGTAGACCGGAATCTATGTATTCCGAGCTAGAAGGAGGCGGTGAGGCTTCGCTACCATTGTTCTAATGGTTGAAGCTGAGCACTTTCATGATTATGAACTTCCCCGCGTTCTTACCTTAAGAATAGCACGCTGTCGCTGACGCCACTAAGCTCACTTTAAGCCGACAAATTCGCCAAATTCTAAGATGCCATTGGACCAACATTCCTTCAAGGTTGAAACAAAAGAAATTATAGTGCTACACCTCACCTCTTCCCCCGTCACAGCTCGAGCCTTTATTAAGGGTTCCCGAGCAAGGCAATCACCCTAACCATTATAATATTACAGTAAACACGCAGTTAGAGAGATATCGAATTTGATGAAGGAAGCACTAGATGCACCTCGTTAGCTAATGAAACTTCCTACAGACCAAGCCATAATAAAGGCACATGTTGTCACACTCGAAGTATGTACATTTCGCTCACTACCCTCTAATGCTTAGTGGATAGAGTTGAAGAGCTTCCTCAGCCTGCCCACTGCATTGGATGTCTGGCGGAGCTGAAGTACGGAAGCTTGATGTTCCGGTTTACACGATTTCGGCTGTCTCCGAGTATGGCTTGAAGTCTTCAAAACGTGGAGAGGTGCCAGGCCAATGCAGTGGCTGACGCGGTCGCTTGCAAAAGACTTTGATTCGCTTTGACACAAAGACACAGCTTTTTGAGAGCAATTAGCGAAATCGGGTATGAAATCGCTCAACTCGAGCGTGATGACTGGTCTCCTGCGACGGAAAACTACTGGAAATTGTCAGCGTCTGGCTCCACGAATGCTGGTTGAGTGCTGACATTGCAAGAGGAGAGCTATGGATAGAAGGCGCTGACTACCGAAGTAGCCTATGTATAACCTTAGAAAGCCTTTGGAATCGTTGTGCGCTACTGTGTGTGATTCCGTGCCGCACGGCTATGGTGGAGAAACAAAAGAGAGTGACAGGAATGACGACGCTTTGCCGGAGCGGGATGGTGGAGGTGAACGGCTGGCGCTAGGCTATAAATGTCATAGTCGCACGTCAGGATCTCCTCCGCATCGGACTAAAATGTGCCGACCGACAACATCACCACTAATCACCTCCTATAGCCTTTGTCGTCCAGGGTTAGGTACAGCCGTTAATCATTTCGCATAGTACCCCTCTTTCGCTGCAGGTCCCGCTACGTTCCCTCCTCTCAATGCCGGCGTGCCTAGTATTGCAACTGTAGCAACTGCGCCATGAATGGTCGACTTACATTACATCATTGGGTTTCTAAAGGAAGGTAACCTTGGATCATAATCCCGGACCTAGATTCAGTATGTTTCGACGAGTATATGTTTGGCCTTGTGCTACCTTTTTTGCGCTATGGCTTCTCCATCGCATTTCCTTCCTTCACTCCGAAATGTCCATTCCCACCCTGTCAATGTCTCGGCGCAGTACACAAGCAATCCTAGCGGCATCACTAGTTACGGCATCATGCTCACAACAGGTGCTTGATTTGAGTTCCGTGAAATGGACTGTAACAAGTCCAAATTTCACCTACATCTCAGTCCCCGGCAAGCTTCCTTCGCAAGCCCATATCGATCTTTATGCTGCTCAGGTGATCGGGAACCCTTTATTTGGGCTCAATGATTTCAACCTACGCTGGATTGGAGATTCCAATTGGACATATACCTCAGAGTCACTGAATTCCCTGTGAGTCGTTGTCTCTCGTAGTGGAAGGGGACACCGAGATGGCTAACACAACACAGAAGCAAGAATTCTAGCTCTACATGGCTTCTGTTCAACGGACTTGATACATTCTCGAGTATCGAACTTTGTGGGAAGCATGTAGCTTCTACGAATAATCAGTTCAGGCAGTACTACTTTGAAGTTTCCGATATTCTGAGCTCATGTCAAGATCCCGTTCTGAGCATCAATTTTGGTAGCGCTACAGTAATAGCGAACGCGACGGCTAACGAGCCGGGCCAAGAGAGTAAGCAACAGTACCTGTAGAATAAAGTATTGCGTTTTTGCTAACGAGGCCGATGCAGCTTGGCCTTATTCAGTAGAAGGCCTCTTCGAATTTCCGAACCGCCAGTTTATTCGAAAAGAGCAGAATGACTTCGGATGGGATTGGGGACCTGCATTTGCTCCCGCCGGTCCCTGGCAGCCAGCGTATGTCATTCAACTAGGGGCGTGGAGTGGATATATCCGGAATACGCTCATTGACGTCTACCGAGAAGGACAACTTAACTTACTTCCACCAGACCAATCTAAAGATTGGGTATTGAATGCAAGTCTTGACTATATGGGAAGCATACCGACCGATGTGGTGTTGAACTACGTTTTGCAAGATAGCAATAACGCCACCATCTTGAGTGGGCAACTCTCGAATGTTACCAACCACAATAATACCATCACTGGCGGCGTGGTGATTCCACGCGATGCCGTGGACCTTTGGTGGCCCGTTGGTATGGGACCTCAGACACTGTATAAGTTGAGCCTCAACGTTGTCGGTAATGGCAACAGCACGATAGCTTCAGTCACCAAACGGATGGGCTTTCGCACAATCATACTCAACGAGCTTCCAATCTCCCAGGCACAATTGGACCAGGGGATTGCGCCGGGGAATAATTGGCACTTTGAAATTAATGGGCATGAGTTCTACGCGAAAGGCTCGAGTAAGTGCTATCCCATCCGATTTTCATCTCAAGACTCTTTACATTCGTCAGTGAATTGTCTGAAACACTCTCTACCCTTAGGCTGATTGTACGTAGACTTCATTCCTCCTGATCCGTTTTGGCCAACTGTTACCGAGGCTCGCCTACGCCAGCTCTTTGAGAGCGTGGTCGACGGAAACCAGAACATGCTTCGGGTATGGTCTTCTGGGGCGTACTCCCCAGACTTTATGTACGACCTCGCCGATGAGATGGGAATCATGCTGTGGAGCGAGTTTGAGTTCGGCGATGCCCTGTACCCGGTCGACCAGGCTTTCCTGGACAATGTGAAAGAAGAAGTTTTCTACCAAGTTCGAAGGGTTAATCATCATCGTGAGTTTCTGCGGTTACCCCCATGTGCAGCGTTTGAAAACTCTTGCTAATTTCGACAGCATCGTTGGCCTTCTGGGCTGGTGGTAATGAGCTTGAGAATCTTGAACTTTACCTGGTCAATCAATCAGCACCGGACCAATTGGATCGCTATATGGCCGAATACGAGACGCTGTTCCTGGATACGATTGCGCCCATCGTATTTGGACAGACGCGGAGCATTTCTTACTCACCGTCTAGTACTAGCAACGGTTGGCAAGAATTGAACTTCTCGCTTCCACAACCCATCACCGAGAGATACGAAAACGTCACCCCGGGCTCGATCTACGGAGACACCGGTAAGCTCGAGCAGTCCTCTTTGTTCTCGAGAATTCATTCCAATATTCACACTTCAACTGTTCGAGCTAATGTTCTTGCTAGATCACTACGATTATGATTCATCGCACTCTTTCAATTTCTCTACGTACCCGGTGGGCCGGTTCGCGAACGAATTTGGCTATCATTCTATGCCTTCACTGCAGACGTGGCAACAAGCCGTTGATCCATCCGACCTCCACTTCAATTCTTCTGTGATCACACTTCGAAATCACCACTACCCTTCCGGCGGACTCAATACTTCGAACTATGTCAATGGTTCGAAGGGCATGGGTGAGATGACGATAGCTGCGCAGCGTTGGTACCCAGTACCGAACAAAAGGGACCCCCTTGCAAATTTCTCAGCATGGTGCCAAACAACACAGATCTTCCAGGCTGACTATTACAGCTCTCAAATCCAATTCTATCGCCGAGGGAGTGCGATGCCAGAGAGGCAGTTGGGATCTCTGTACTGGCAACTAGAAGATCAGTGGCAAGCGCCGACTTGGGCGGGCATCGAATACGATGGGAGATGGAAAGTTTTGCACTACGTTGCAAAGGACATTTATCAGCCGGTTATTATCTCCCCTTTCCTCAACGTGACGTCTCATGATTTCGAAGTCTGGGTGATATCTGATCTCTGGTCCGAAATCTCTGCGTCGGTGAGCCTGTCATGGTACGACTGGTCTGGGAATAAATTGAATGTCAGCAATCCTTCTTCGGCACATGTTCGGGTCGGTGCAATCAACGCCACACAAGTGCTCTCCACGAACACCAACGAGATTCTCTCAGACTACGACCCCGCGAACTCGATTCTCGTCATGGAAGTCTCCGCGCAGGGAACAAGACCGAATTCGAAAAGAACAGAGACGTTTACGCATAAGAATTGGTTCCATGCCGATCGTCTCTCGAACGCGAAACTAGTTGACCCTGGGTTGGAACTGAGCCATTCGAACTCTACTTCGACGTTTACTGTGAAGGCTACGAAGGGAGTTGCAGCCTGGGTTTGGCTGGATTATCCATCTGGTGCAGTGCTGAATTTCGATGCGAATTCGTTCTGGTTACTCACAGGAGAGGAGAGGGAGGTTGGCTATACGGTGAAGAGTGATACGACCGGTGGGAAGTGGATTGATGGGGTGACGGTGAGGAGTTTGTGGGATAATACAGTACCGTGATTAGCATGTGATTTGATAGATGTGACTGACGACGGCACTTATCGCCTGAACAAACATTGATTCTCTCTCGAAGCATGACTGGACAGTCGAGCTAGGCAAACTTGCAGGATCATGCGTAGGGGCGAGGGCAAGAATAAAGCGACCTAGGAATAGATCATAACTGAAGGTATATAAACTCATTGAATTGGGGGCGGAAAATATGGCGCGGATGGCTTGGCGCGTCGCTGCCTACGCGATGTCAGTTGACCTCGGACCCCATACCTCCACCTTTTACATCCTTTTGCTTCTGCCCCTTCCCCCAAGAGTTCTTAGCATTCTCTCCCTCCTTTCCACAATTAATTGCAAATATCTTCAACCTACGTCCCCGCGTCTTTCATTGCCACGATTGTTTTCTTTCCTTCATTTCATCCCAATAATGTCGGCTTCTGCTCACGGACCAATTCCGGATCATGACCCGGATGACCCCCCATATCCAAGCGTTGATCAGGATATCTTAGATGATTTAGAACTAAAACAGTACCAATCTCCAGAACCACGCTCAGATCTAAATCGTTACCCACAACCGGGAATGGCTAAACTTCATGCTCTTCTTTCCAAGGGTATGTGAGCACCAACGCCTCCTGCCCTGGTGCGGCGACTCAACTTTTACCCACAGATAAAGCAAAGCTTGATGAGCTCAAGTCTCTAGGGCGCGCTAAGGATCAACTTCGCTTGTGGAACAAATGCCAAGCTGATGCGTTGGAGATTTTGAGCTTGCCCCACGATGAAGAGGTGGATGTTTTCCCGTTCTTTGCCCTTCCTACCGAATTGCGATTGCTGGTATATCAGGAACTGCTTGTTACAGACGATCGACTGATATTGTCATGGAGGGGCCCGAAGAAGGCGAACAAGCACCAGAAGAGAATGTACATTGCGATTCTGATGACATGCAGGTTGTGCGCGAATGAAGGGCTTGCAACACTATATGGAGAGAATGTTTTTGATTTCGGTAAGTTTTGGCCTCAGATATTTTTTTTTAAAATGCATACTTGGAAACATGGCGAGTCTTGATACTTATTCCAATATTTTCGAACTGGCTCTATCCAAAACGCTAATAAGGCTTCATAGAGGAGATCTGCGGTCGTCCTACTTTTGTAACGTCCTTCGTCAAACGTCTCAAACCCACGAACCTATCTCTAATCCGCATTATTGTGGTCGAGCACTCCGCCGCCTCCGAGGAACTTATGCTGCAACACCCTGACTCCACATTCAAACGGTTATCCATTGCCCATATCACCGCCTTCCTTGCCCCCTTCAACATCAGCCTTTCGCAACTCCGCTGCTTTGCAGTCAGCCTTATCCCGTATGGTTTCGATGACGCGACTACATATGTGATGAAAGACCAGCTGCATGCTGGAGGACAGAGTAATATGAGCACGAGGATCCAGTGGCTGGATAAGAAGAATGCAGCATTAGGAGAGATGGCGGAACAGATCTGTGAGAGGGTGGGCGGGTTCAAGAGAGTTGAGTTTGGAGAGATTGATAGGAAGATCTGCTTTGATTGGTGTCCTCCGTTCATGGGTAGGCCTTGGCTGTTGTATGAAAAGGGGAGTCAGATGTAGCGATTCTAAGGTGTCACCGTTGACGGTTTTGAAGTTGTACAGTTAGAGATTTTGGAAGTTGTTTCTACTCTTCACACAGACACGCATGCTGTTAGATTCCGGGGAAGATTTTTTGGAAGTGCTATTTGATTTTTGTTTGTTAGTCCAACATCTTTACGTCTAGTTCGTGGATTCCTTGGAACCTTTCTCTCTTATATATGGAGACCTTCCTTTTCCAGCCTAACACTTCCCTAAATTCATACTAGCTCTGTTCGATCCGATCTTCAACAAATGACTACCTAAGTGACAATCCTGCGGAGTCGTACCCACCGTTGATATACCGCTGCAGCCTCTCCAGAGAATCTTGTTCTTCAACCCTCCATATGCACCTAGTCCGAGATATGTCGTCTCGCCGACAAGGTCTTCGCTTAGGATGGATAGGCCTCGGCTCCTCCTGGGGTCTCGCAATGGCTACAAATATCCAAAAATATCTCAAAGAGAACAACCTTCTCTATTGCGGTATTCGAATCGAACGATGTCTTGTAGAGCCCCATTGGCTTAGATGGGTGGCGTGCCGTGTCAATTAACTAGGGATTTGGTCCAGATTTGTGACGTGGTTTTTAATCAGTGGGTTCTTGGAATGCTTTCAATACCTTCCACCTGAACCACTACCTGTAGTGCGTTATACTGGCTAGGCGAATAGGTTAGCAACGATGAAGTTCTGAAAGGACTTATCAAAGTCATAATCGACTGTGGCTCGATCAAAAATAAAGATTATCGTGGACACGACAACTGTCCACCCAAACACATCCAAAGAGATATACCACCAACTGCAAGAAGCAGGACCCTCACTCATCGCCGGCACTTCTCCCATCTACCTCCTCGCTTCCCTGTAACTCCCACTTATCTTTAACCCGAGCGCGCGCCCGTCATCTGTGCCTCACCCCTCGCACAAACCGGCAAACGCCTAATTCCCGTCGCCGGCCCTCGTCTGCCAACCAAACCATCGCGCCATTTCTAAAAACCGCCATAGCCCACAATGTCATCGAAGACGGCCCAGATGCCTCGCAAGCGCTCCTAAAAACAACCAGCAACTTCATAACCACGTGCCTCATGTGCCTGATCAGTGAAGCACACGTGCTAGCCTCGAAACCCGGACTTCCATTCCACATCCTCGAAACTCTGATCCAAGAAAACTTCGTCACGATGGTGTATTCAGATTCCTAGCGGATGACGCAAGGGATATAATATTCTGCGGAAAGGGTGCCGCCATATTCAAATTTGGAGTTGGGGGTGAAGGATGTGAGACATGGATTGGGGATTGGGGATTGGGGGTTGGGGGTTGCGGGGGATGTGGGGATGAGATTGAGGGTTGGGGAGCTGGTTATGGGAATATGGAGGAGGCGAAGAAGTTTGGGGAGGAGAGGGGTAGGAGGTTGGATAGTAGTGGTATGTTTGGCGTGGTGCGTGGTGAGGAGGAGTGCGGGGTTAGAGTTTGAGAACACGTGTGTTAAGAGGGACGCAGTGAAGAGGAAATAGATGCTGGGCCAGACCTCGAGGAGTGGAAGTTGGAATGTATATAGTTGTTGTCAGTAGTACATTTGGAGACGCGTACTACTGCGTTTTCTCACTTGACGTGGAATATGACAGGGGTCATTTAGAGCAGAAACACGTGTCTTGTTATCGCTCTCCTTAATTCTAGGAAGAGATTTAATGGATAGACTCTGCTCCGGTTGTGTTCCATGTTAGGCGAGAAGATCCATTAATTCTTGCGCATGTCCCTCTCATAGGATGCGATATGGATGTGTAGAACTATGCTTCTGTTGGTGGATATGCTTAAAAAGTGTTCATCATAAGTCTAAAGCACTCTTCCCCTCAAAACCGGAGGATGCGAGATGCGACTCCCAAAACAAAACGCATCTGGCCCGAGTTATCGATAAAACAGAAAAGGAGATCCCCTTAGCCCCTAACTCACTGATCAACCCCAAAAATACCAGCGCTAACCGAATCTGCAAACACGGCGATATCCATATTGGCCAAGTTCATGCATTTCTCGTATCCACGGACCACCCGCTAAAGCCCAAGCCAGACAAAAAACAGGGGCCAGAAAACACTTTGCAGAGTCGACACTCGACAGATTTTCTCAAGGTCTGCGATGATGCCCTTCACGCGAGAAATTGGAGTTGTTAGACATTAAGCGAAGTGCATACTTCCAGATTGAGCAGTAATCTTAAAAGCGTATTGTATGCTAAAGTCCATAAGTTCTGTGTCAGGTGTATGAACGGGAACTAAAAGGGTGACGCTTGGCAGGCTAAAATAGGCTAGCGTCTGATTCCGTTGGATGCAGGAAACCAGCACCGCCTTGCAAGGCCCCAGCTGCGCGCTCCAGACTGACCACTCGTCGTATAAGATCGTGAGATGACCGCACCGTAGGATGGGCACCTTCTCCTCATCGATGCCTTTGCGGAGACGCGGTCGTCCTGTCGCTCATTCCCTCATATTCGTCCTGATCAAAGAATTTAAAGCCGGTGTTGTGGCTCCAAGATGCTGTTTCACTCGCTTTTGGTGTGCTTGCCCCTCGTCAGCTCACGTGTGATTTCAAGACTACGTGAAACGCCACTGCTAAGCAGCCAGGAGGGTGCACCAGGTATTGGACTCCATTTCACAACGTCGTATGCGACTGCTGCGATTCGATATGATAATGGGACAATAGTTGATCTTGTCAGAGTGAGAATAGATCATATGGAGCAAATCGCGGTATCAGCTGATCCAGATCTAGATTGAAGCGGATGCAGAATACATCGATTTGATGTCACGGTGGGCGAATCCAGCATCTAAACAAGATTGGTATGTTGCATTTCCTTGCATATGAATAGTGGGTTTATGCAGTATGCAGCTCGGACCCGTGGAAGGAATTCCAATGCTCAATTGCTCGACGAAAACGAAACGTGAACAAATGGCTCGGACGGCCTGCAACCGTAGAGGTGGGGATACTGTCATCTTTCGTAGTCGATCTTAAGGCCGCCGTCGAGGACACACTCGATTTCCCAATAACGAGAGTCTTCCCTGTGTTTCCAATGCTGGAGGGTATGGAAGAAGACGACATCCAAGACGCCTTAGAATACACGGGCCTAGACTGGCTGCTTGCTGAACGCCGCTCATACCACATATTCTGGGAGACGAATGCGGCGTTTGCAGGCTTGGGATACGGGCTATGCAAATCGCGGAAGAACCTTCTACAGTGCGAGGAGCAGGAGAGGGACATGCACCTCGAGCCGGTTCTTTTCCTCAACTTCGATAATTCCTCCTTCGCGGCGTCGCTCCAGGGCATGGAGAATGCTTATTGGGATTGGACCATGATGTCAGAGGTACGCCTCGACCTCGGATGGTGGAATATGCCGGTTTATGAGGTACCGAGAGCGAAGTTCCTTGCTCGGATCCAACAAGTAATTGTCAATGTTGGGAGCTCCATGGTTCGCCCACCGACTAAGATCATCCTTCTTGGCGAGTATGCCGATGACGAAGACTTCCGGGAGACAGTGAAGGCGGCGATATGGGAGCTTCTGGAATACGATGCATCCCCTCTTCTGGAAGTTAATATGATGAAGCGAGGAGAGCCGTGGATGCTCGCAGCTAGGGGAGCAGCGGAAATGGCTGGACGTGCTGAATATTGGAATCAGTACGAGCGAAGGAGGCCCGGAGAGGGACTAGAAACTTTCGTTGTTGAGCTTTGAGAAAGTTTTCATAATGTGTAAACCGCTTAATGTTAATGTAGATACCCCCCAAAACTTATTTCGTTACAATTACCTGGGTTCGGAGTCGCGCACTAACTAAGCTAATGCTTGGCTGTAGACGAACACATTGAACTCATCGTTTCGGGACATGCTGATTGTACGCCATTAGCACGCAGTTTAGGTTGCCATAGAACTGGATCTCCTCTCTGGCTAACTTATCGTGTCGGGACATGTTGGCATTGTACTCAGTAAACACGCTGGTTAGGTTGACATAGAACCGGATCTCCTTCCCTCGAGCGAACTCATCGTCGTGGGAAATGTTGGCATTGTACTTCGCGAGCATGCTGATGGATTAGCATCGACCTAGGTCTCTTCCTTCTGGTGAACTTATCGTCTCCGGGCATGAAGACGTTGTGCTCTGTGAGCACGCTGGTTAGGTTGTCATGCGGCAGATTTTTATCTAGTCCAGCATTCTGATGTGTAATACTCTACCACTGCTGCAGGGACACCGATGCGACAGGGCTGTCACAAAATTCGTCTTTGACTCTCAAGCATCGTCGCAAGACTCACTTACCAGACACTGAAAAGGGTAACATTCAGATGTACCGGAACATGTTGTTGCGCACACCCCTCTTCAGCGCAACTGGTTGCCCATCTTCAAGTTCAACTCCTGCTTCACCACCATCGCCAGCCAAGCCTTTCATTTTCAATTCTAGCTCTTTGTCGAGCTCTGCCAGCGGTTTATTCTTTGGCGCTTCGCCTTCCTTCAAATCCTTAGTGGCAACTTTCTAGTAAATTTAGTTTAAGGAGCAGGTCGGCAAGATCCTAGCTTGGAGACGCACCATCGATTTATTTTCGGACTCGGCGAGATTTGAAGCTGCCCCTGACGAAGAGCATCGTAAGAGTGAAAAGGAGAGTGAAGATAGAGGTGAATTAGAGATTGCTAATGGCGGCTTGCCGTGGGACGCCGTGAAAGCGCCTCGGATGGCTCGAGGCACATATGCCCGTGAAGGCGGCATAACAAGCGCAGATTTCACTAGGAGTAATGGCAAAGCATGATGATATGGGTGAAAGTGAAGCCAGAAATTATTTACGTCAACGTGACTTTCATTCCACCGTTACTAACAATATGCCAAGACACTACTAGCGTATCTCGAACATTTCTCGAACCCCGTCTCCGCGACCAAACGCTTTCCACGCAACGCGACAACGCCGCACCAACCCCAACCCCATCCCCCTGGTGTGGCACAACACACGAGCCTCCGCCTTCTATAACTTCTACGACACCGTCTCCTCCTGCAATCATCATGGTCGTAACCAAAGTCGGCCAGTGGTCGAACGTCGAAGATGAGGTCCTCAAGGCGGCCATCTCGAAATATGGTCTTAACCAATGGGCGCGTTGCGCTTCGCTCATCGCGAAGAAGACAGCGAAACAATGCAAGGCACGGTGGAATGAATGGTTAGATCCATCGATCAAGAAGACGGAGTGGTCGAGGGAGGATGACGAGAAGCTTCTGACCATGGCCAAGCTCCTTCCCACGCAGTGGCGCACAATAGCACCCATTGTCGGAAGGACTGCGACGCAATGCCTAGAGCGATATCAGAAGCTGCTGGACGAGCAAGAAGCGAAGGAGAGCGGTGATCTAGGCCTTGCAGGCCCCGGCGACGAGACATCAGCCCCTACCGCAGAGGATGTCCGGCGGTTACGTCCTGGAGAAGTCGATGCATACGCGGAAAGCAGACCCGCGAGGCCGGATGCCATCGACATGGACGAGGAAGACAAGGAGATGTTGTCAGAGGCACGTGCGCGATTGGCAAACGTTAGCGGAAAGAAGGCGAAACGGAAAGCTCGTGAGAGGCAGCTGGAGGAATCACGGAGGATTGCACTTCTCCAAAAGCGCCGTGAGCTAAAGGCTGCGGGCATAAACATCAAAATTAACCCTAAACGGAAGGGGAACCATATCGATTACAACGCCGACGTACCTCTAGAAAAAGAGGTCCCCTCCGGTTTCTACGATACTACCGAAGAGCTCGTGCGGAATGAGCGGCAGCGAGAGGCCTTTGATCCGCGGAAGCAACAACTTGCGAACAAGCGCAAGGCAGACATGGAGGAGGAGCAGGGGGGCAATAAGAGGAAGAAGGACGATAAAAGTTCGGGGGGGCTGGCTGCTTCATACGCAAAGGCTGCTCAAGCCCAGAGGATGCGTGAGGCTGAGATGAATAGCAAGCGACGCGCACTTGTGCTCCCGGCACCCCAGGTTGGAGATGCAGAGATGGAGGACATCGTCAAAATGGGCATGTCTGGAGAGCGCGCAATTGCTGACATCGATGGTGACAATGGGGCTACTCAAGGCTTAGTTGGCAACTACTCGAGCATTGTCCAAAACACCCCTATTCGCACCCCAATGGCACCGAAAGAGGAGGACTTCATTGGGAACGAAATTCGAAATGCTCGGATGAGGACAGAGACTCAGTCCGCTCTGCTTGGAGGAGATAACCCTGACCTGATCGAAGATATGGCACCGCCCGCGCTACCCGGCAAGACTCCGAGGCATCAGATTGTGACGCCTAACCCAATGGCCACCCCTTTTCGGCAAGCCAATGGCGGGGTTGGTGCTACCCCTATGCGCCAAGGACCTGGCGCGACCCCGATGCGGACCCCCCGAGATAACCTTCGTCTCAATGAGAGCGATGGAATGCAGCTTGTCGGACAAACCCCACGGGACCTTAAGCTCCGAGAGCAGGCCATACGTCAGAACCTTCGAAGCAAACTTGCCTCCCTTCCTAAACCAAAGGAGACCGAGTGGGAATTCGAGCTTCCTGAGGAGCAGGCTGAGACGCAAGCCGTGGTGGTTAGCGAAGAAGATGCTGCTGAGCGAGACAGAAGGAACAGGGAGTTGCGCGAGGCCGAGGAGCGTGCAGAGTTTGGCCGACAAACCCAGGTCATCCAAAGGTTTCTCCCGAGACCATCAATAGTGGATTTTGATGCGCTTCTGAAGAGGGCCCAAGATATCGAAGACCCGATCGCACGGGAGATCGAGGCGGAAATGGCTCTCTTGATTGTGAATGATGTCCGAAAATTCGGCGGTGGACAGGTCAGCGGCACAGCACGGCCTCTGGAGAAAATCAGCGACGATGCCGTCAATAAGGCTAAGATGGAGATAGCCCTCGAAATATCTGCTTCAAGCGAGAAGGACAAGCAAACTTTCCAGTGCAACTTCGGAACGGCCTGGACCAACCTGCATGGGTCTTCACGACTCCCCGGACTGGATGGGTACGAGGAAGACGAGGTTGACGAGCACCAGCTGATGGTGGAAGCGTTTGATAACACACAGGACAAGATCATGGAGAGTGCAGAGCGGGCGAACAAGATCGAGAAGAAGCTCGCTCTACACCTGGGTGGATACCAGAAGCGGGCGACTCTCCTTCGCCAGAAAATCATCCATGCATCGAACGCCCTCGAAAAGGCAAAGAGAGAGCTGGAGTTGGCTCGGACGATGCAGTATTCGGAAGGGACAGCGATCAGTAGGCGCCTGGAGAGCCTGCGGGACGAGGTTGCATTTATAAGCCGAAGGGAGAGGGAGGCACAAGAGCTGTACCGGGCGAGGAGAGACGAGTTGGAGGACCTCCAGATGCCCAAGAGTGAAGCTAGCTGAGGATAACTAGGTCTGGTATGATTCATGAGCAGGAGCTTTTCATGTATTAGTATTTGAAGGGAACAGATTTTGGGTTGGCATGGGGTAGCGGCGTCAAAGAGGGGTTGGAGGGCGGCTTTGAATTTCTCTCAGAATGTCATCATAAACATGGTATCACCTGCCAGGGTGGACGGGGACGGCACAGGTTGAGAAGAGACAAGGAAGCTAGATAGGCCAAAAATTGAGGTTGGGTGCGGCCCTTGTTCTCGGATGTATTGCGGGTTCTGTGCCTGACCCAGCTCGACAGAAACAACGTGGGGGCCACGTTGTCGGGTGGAGGATTGTTCTGATGGCATTGTCATGGCATTGTCACGGTCCGCGATTCACCCATTGATGCAGCGCGAATTGCTTTTTCGTGCCTCAGGCCACCCAGGCAGGTTGACATATTTCTTCCGTGCGCCGATTCGACTTTTTGAACAATGGACAGGTGTTCGCCGTTTAAAAATGCGGCGCCCCATGCAGACGCGCACAGTCTCCCTGCCGCCAAATGACAGTTTTTAGCGACTCCGCGCCAGTGGGTTGCCGTCCTTCCCCAAGGCAGGGGAGCCACTTCGGTCGCAATCCGCAATCCGCAAGCCGACGACTCGAAGTCCACCTTTGCCGCAATCCCCTCTCGTCCACCTAACCTTGAGTCGGATTCTAAGAGCTCTCTGCCGTGTGTCTTGCTGTCCGCTTTCTTGTTCCGCATGTTAGAACGCTGCTGATTGAGGCGGGCATGGGGCGCAACGCGCGAAAGCGTATCTCCTACGGTTAGTCCCTCCTCCCCCCCCCCGCCGCCCTGCTACATGATGCTCCCGCGCCTGCTCCTGTTCCCGCTCCTGCTTCCGCTCATGCTCACTTGCCATCACAGTCCTGCCCCTCGCGAACTCGGCCGGAGGACACAGGTTGGGCGTAAATGGCCTGGCTATCGACCCGGTAAACTCGATTCTGTACGGCGCCCGAAGCTCCCCATCGTATCTCCGTTGACCGCTCCACAGCTACTCGGGTGGTCGAGACGGCGTCATATGCGCCTGGGACCTGCATCTTGACCTGGTCTCGAAGGCCCACGAGGAAAGAGACCCGTTTGCCGACTCAAATGCGCCCAATTACAAACCCCCGCCGACGCTGTTCCGGCAGCAGGTCCAGGCCCACACGCACTGGATCAACGACATCGTCCTCGCCCAGAGTAACCAGGCCCTCGTCTCCGCATCCTCAGACATTACGGTGAAGGTATGGCGGCCTGCCGCCGAAGACGTCCTCCCTCCGCAGACCATCGGCCTGCACACCGACTACGTCAAGCGCGTAGCCTCCCCCGGCCTGAGCGAGAACTGGGTTGCATCTGGCGGGCTGGATCATAAGATCAGCTTGTGGGATCTCAGTGGAGGAGGCCAGAAGCTGCAGATAGCTGTGGGCGATGATGAGAACACGGCCAAGGGGTCTGTCTACGCCTTGGCGGCAACTAGCTCTATCCTCGCAAGCGGCGGCCCGGAAAGCATAGTCCGGGTCTGGGATGTCAGGACCGGGAAGCGCATCACAAAGTTTGTCGGACACACGGACAACGTGCGGGACGTGCTCATCACGCAAGATGGGGATACCATCTTGACCGCGTCCTCTGATCAGACTGTCAAAGTATGGTCGATGACGGCAGGAAGATGCATGTACACACTGACCATGCACAACGACAGCGTCTGGTCGCTGTACTCGGACCACCCACAGCTATCTATCTTCTACTCCTCCGATCGATCGGGTATAGTGGCAAAGAGCGATGTGCGCAATTGCGCCGAAATGGATGAAGGACTCTCGGTGGCCGTCTGTCAAGAGCACGAAGGAGTGAACAAGGTCATTCGATCTAGCGACTACATTTGGACGGCAACGTCCAGTTCGAGCATCAACCGGTGGAACGACGTAGAGACGGCCGCAGATGTCGCTTTACCAGAATCCTACAGGTGGCATCGATCGAGTGTGGGTACGACTCGGTCGCGGTACCCTTCTCCGCCCACGGCCAGCCCTCCGATGAACGGTACAACCCCGAAAATACCGTTCCCTGCCCTTCTGCGGATGTCGAACACCGCACCCTTCCCTCTATTTTCTGCCAAAGATCCAGAGGCTTCAACGGTGTATTCAACGACGAGCACACGAAAACCTTCGGAGGTTCTGTCAGCAGCTGATCCAGGTGTAGTTGTGCCATGTCGAAGCCTACCAGATTTCTCCATCGAAGGCCAGAACGGTCTGATCAAGCATGTCTTACTTAATGATCGGAGAAGGGTGCTCACTCTAGACACCGCCGGGGAGGTAATATTATGGGATTTGCTACAAGTAAGATTCCTGCGCTTTCGTGTCGGCTTTTATCTAACAACAACTTAGTGTGCTCCCATAAAGTCATTCGGGAAGCGGCATCTCGAAGATGTTGCCCCTGAAGTTAATACACAAGAAACTGTTGCCCACTGGTGTGCTGTTGACACGAGAACCGGCAGTCTGACTTGCGTCCTCGAGGAGAATTACTGCTTCGACGCTGAGATGTATGCAGACGAACTTCATTTGGAGGAAAAGATTGATTTCCGAGAAGACCAGAGAAGTAGCCTTACCTCTATCTACACAGTTTCGGCTTCCATACTGACAATGTGCAGTAAATCTAGGAAAGTGGATACTGCGATATCTGTTCTCTAACCTCATCGATGAAGAGATTAAACGGGATGAAGACTTCAGAAATGCTCTTGTCGAAGAAAAGAAGAGCGGTATGAATCGGACGAACGCACCAGCTAACATTCAAATACCCGAAAACCACATCAACGGTTGGACAGACGCAGTATCAGGGCCGACGTCTAGCTCCACGATTCGTGCCACTAATAGCTTCCACCTACCTATTACTACTCCCGGACTCCAGATTGGCCTTGCTACTCCGGGTATCCCAACATCGAGCCCTACCCATGCGACACAGCAGCTGTACACTCTCCTTCCTACGACAGAAGAAGGCTCTCAGCTCTCACGAACCACCACTCAACAGAGCCAGACTAGAGAAGGCTCTGACTACTTCTCCACCACACCCGCCACCAACGGCCACGGCAACGGTAAACCTATCATTACCTCCGCCGAAGCCTCCACAACGGACCCATCGCAAGAAACCCTTCCGCAATCTCCCTCGGAAGAGAATCCGACAAACCCCACCCATGGCAAAAAGGGCAAGGCTCTCTTCTCGAAGAAATTCAACATGTCCTTCAACATGAAAAAATTCGGCAGCACGTCTTCAACAGTCGAGGTCGCGAAACCGGTTGCCGTGGATGAAAAGTCTGAGGACAGTGATTCGAGGAGCAGTAAGACTGATGAGAAAATCATTGAGGATAACTTTTTCGGGGCTGTACAGAAGATTAGGCAGGGGTATGAGGAACAAGTAGCTTTGGGCGCAGTGTCAGTGCATACGCAAATTGCGCCCAGCCTCCCCAACGAGACGCCAGTTCTGAAACCACCAGCGAGTACGACCATTCTGATTCAAGAAGACAGACCAGATTCTGGCGGCGTTGCGGATCTCTTCGAAGGCAAGGTCGGCTCCCTAGGCCAACAAGTCGAACTTATCGAAAAAGTAGCGCCCGTGTGGCTCGCCGACATTCTTCTCCGCGTAAGATCCTGACTCACCCACCTCTTCCTCCACTCCCCTCAAATGCACTAACACAGGCACTGTAGAACCAAATTCCCTTCAAAGATATCGTCAAAGTCTCCTTCATCCTCGAACCGTACCAAAACACGCTACCTAGCATAGCTTCGGACGGGTATATACCCCTCTTCGTCCCTACAGAGAAAATAGTTCGCGCTAATACGGCACCACTCAGCAACAACCGACTCAATGCGAATCGCATGCTACGGGCGAGGAAGATATTGAGTTATGTAGCGGAGAGAATTGAGCCCGCGCCGACGACTGCTGAGAAGGAGAAGGAGGGTGAGGAAAGGTTGAAGCCGGAGGAGTATTTGGAATTGTTTTGTCAAGGGCAGGTTAGTACATTCTTTCTCTTTGTGCCGCTCTTTCTCTATCATTTTATCGGTTGGTGTGTGAAAGAAATGAGGCGGCATAGGGTTTAGCAGACTAACAGAATTCCTGCTAACAATATTTATTCTTGTAGTTGATTGCCCCAACCATGACACTAGCGTCTATCCGTGCACACGTCTGGCGTGGCGGCGGCGACGTGGTGCTCTATTACCGCGCGAACGGCCGCAAGGAAATCAAACATGCGCCTTTCATCGGCACACCGCCCCCGTTGTCCGCGACCGGTAGTACGGGCGTGTCCGAGGGGAAGGCGTCGTCCGATGCCGGGAGGAGCAGCCAGCATAGTTCTAGGGGGATTGTGGAGGGCAAGGCGTGTTGATGGGAATGAACATGTTGGTGTTGGTGCTAAGCTTGATGTTGATGTTGATGTTCATGCCCATCTTGATCCTCCAATTGTGGATTGATTCTGATTCTGATTTTGATCTTGGAGAGGTCTGAATCTCTTGTGTATTGTACATAGTATTTTGCACATACCCCATTCCTTACCGGATCGCTGTATGGATTCGATCCCATCTGTTCTATCTCTATTGATACGGTATGGTTTGGTGTGGTTTGATTTGACTTCAGTTTGGGTGGGTGCATTTGGTTTGGATTACTGATAAATCGTGTCTGGAAGTCTATGGCGTTCTTGATCTTACACTCTTACTCTTACACATCTTCCATTCCGGTCCGCGTTCGTATCGTAGTGGTTGTGTCAGTGTTGATATCATAATTCCTCGATCCCGCCCAGCAAATTACTCGCCCACTGATACGAACCCAAAAATATCGCTCCCCCGACACTTATCCAACCAACCCGCGGCCCTATCCCCGCAAAGAAAGCCCGTGGGCCAGAGAATCGCAGTATCGAACTCAGCATGCTAAACGCAGACTGCCGCTCCTTCGCCAACATCATCCTCGTCTTCAGCACATCTAACGGCGTCGTTATCCCCGCCGCTACAGCCCCCGCCACCGAGCCCAGAATCCCGCCCTCAAACCCCGACACCTGTTCCCTCCCACTACCGTTAATCCGCCACCGCTTCAGTGCTTCCCAGAGTGGGAATTGGATCACTGTAAACGGCACCTCGCGCATAATCGTTATGGACCAACCACGATATAATTCCCGCCACACATGCACATAACCCCGCGTTCTGCGCTGATCGAGGATGTGGAGGAGAGAGGAGAGAGAGGAGGGGTGTTGTGAGGCTTGTGCTCGTTGTTTCACCACCTCAGTTGGTACGCGCACTGCACATGCAGCGACTTCGCCTACACTCGCGGCGAGCATGTGGACGAAGGCTTCGTGTCTCTGGCCCCGGGGGCCCTCAATATACGCCTTACCTTCTGCATTCCGTGCGATGGAGCCGCGGGAGGGAGTGAGTAGTGTGCGTTTGATAGAGTCGTAGGTTATGAAGAAGAGCGCGGCGCCTGGGGCGGACCCGATGAGCGCGGAGCCTACGCCTCGGTAGATTCCGGTGAAGCCGCCGGAGGAGGTGAAGCCGGCACTGGATTGGAGGCGAGTTTTTAGCGTGTCGAGAGGGTAGAGCGAGAGGTCGACTGTGGTGCCGGCGAGGCCGCCTGCCTGTTGCAAGAGTTAGTCACATAAGTTAGTCGTAGGAATTGACGGGGATTGAGATGGCAGAGAAAGGGAGGAGTACAACTAAGGAGCGTAGGTATGGTGATTCGAGCCATGCACTACTCTGGCGTGGCTCGAGGACATGCTGCATTTTTCAGACTTTGCGATGCTTGATGACAAGAATTGATGGTGGAGGTTAGAGGGGCTGGTCTGTGCGGTGGTTTTCAGCCCTATAGGCTATCGCGTTAGTAGAAGCGCGGTTCCGGGATGAAATTCCGACGAGGCGAGGTTTGTTTCCGACAAGCACCACTGGACTCCCACTCACCAAGCAACCCTTTTTCTTGGGCTATTTTCGTAGAGCTGGTGATAATTCAGCTGAAAATGAGCAGTGCAGAGATTGGTGTGAGACTGGTGGCGAGTACAAGGGGGCGGGAGATGGGATTGGAGGGTAAGTTGTCAAATGGAGAGGGTGGTGCGATGGGATGGGCAGCGTTCCTAACAATTTAACAGGTGGAGAACTAGAGCAACTGGAGGCTGCCTCTATGCATACTAGCTGCATTCATCAAGCTGAATTGTAAGTTATCCTCTCCCCGTTTCATGGACCTGGATTAACTGGCTGGCTTTATAGGTCGGCGGATGGAACATGCGTCTTCACCTCTGACTACAACCGCACGCTCTCCGTCTATAGGGTGCCAGAGGAAGGAGAAAAAGACCTCCTAGTTCCGTGCTCATCGCTTACCAGCTCTGAGCCTATCTGGGCCTTTACTGGATACTCTAGCTTCAACGCAGCCAACGCATTGTCGTCATTGGTCCTCATCAGCACCCGCAACAACTTCGTCAGCCTCCACAACGCACTGTACTCCTACTCCTCCTCAGATACAGATGGAGGTCCGGAAGCCGCAAGCTCAAACTCCCCACTGGACATTTCCGCCAAGCTCCTCAGTTATCGAAACTTCAACACCAAGACCGAAGCCGTCATCAGCCCACACTCCCTCCTCTTCACCCGCTCCGGCACCCACTTCCTTGCTGGCACCCAGGACTCCATCTTCCTGTTCGACCTCCACAATTCCTCCGGCCCAATTGACGAGTTCCGCACGCACAGCAAACGCGATCCACAGAGCTACAAAGGCATCGTATCCAGCCTCTCCATCAGCTGCGACAGCATTCTCGCGGCTGGCACATGGACGCGCTACGTCGGCCTGTACGAAGCCGAAGGTAGCGGGAATCCCATTACTACAATATCCCTGCCCGGCGGCCCGAGCTGGAACCCCGGACACCGCGGGAATGATAATGAGCTTGCTGGTGGTGGGATTAGTGAGGTCAAATGGTCGCCATGTGGGAGGTACATCTACGTTGCGGAACGCGACTCAGATGTTCTGATGTTCTACGATATCCGGAATCTGAGCTTAGGGCTTGGATACTGTAAAGGGCGGAACGCGCTTGCGAAGCAGAAACTCGGGTTTGGGGTCTGGACGGCTGCGGCTGCGGATGAGGTGTTTGCGAGAGAAGGCGGGGTGGAGGTGTTGGCTGACAACGAGCGAGAGAACCTGGGTGTACGCACTGTTGACCATGAGATTTGGGCTGGTGGGATAGATGGCGTGGTGAGGGTTTGGCGCGATCCGCATCTCAGACAGGGCGCGTTGGAAGCAGATCAGGTTTTGCAGGTGGGAGAGGACCCGGTGGTTGGGACGATGGTGAATGAGAATGGGACGGCGATGGCTGTGGCGAGTGGGAGGAGGGAGAGTGTGTTTCCAGATGAGGATGCGGAGGGAGAGGGAAGAGTGAGGAGGGATTGGAGGGGGCTTAGGGTCAGGGAGCGTGGTGCAGTTGATGTATTTAGATTGTCCGGATGTTGAAGAATGGCGTTAGTGGAGATTGTATCGGGGATTGGCAGACAGACGGACGATGGTGGTTACGATGTTAATGGCATGGCATGTGGTGTACGATACCCAGGTCATATTGACCCACTGGCGTTATAGCCAACCCTTTTCCAATCTAAAACTTACAATCTAAAATTTGTCACCATATGCCACTCCACGCAATCAGAACAAAAGAAGGTGTCGAGGCTCTAGCCAGGTTCAAGGTGACAGCTAACATGATACCCGTCTTCCCCTCTTTCGGCCTGCCTGTCCCGCCACCAAGAGCTTCGGCTTACATTACTCATACCCGTCCTTTCCCTTAACGATATTATACCAAGGCCCGCCTCTTCCAAACACCTTCTGCAGAGCTCCAGTAACAACATCTAAATGTTCCCACGTGGCGAAGTGTCCGCCTATATAGTTATCAGGTTCGTGCCCTACAGGACCTGCGGAATAATCAGCTTCTATTTAAGCTCTTCCCGCCAATCCCTTTCTTCAGACTAACATCCGGCTCATTCATCTAACAAACAAAATTTAGAAATAAAACTGAAACCCCTCACTTACCCATAGCCGCTTTCCCAACCCTTCGGCACAACACTCAGCTCCCTCGGAAACCACGCCAGTCCCAACTTTGCCCCCTTAATGTGCTCACACATCCGGTCCCTCGCCGCAACGCCCACACTCATGCTAGTCATAACTTCATAATAAATCCTCACATGCGCATTTGGCCCGGCGGCACTGAAGCAATAGGTGCTAATCACAGGGCTTCCAACGCGGCGTAGTACTGTACGATTGGGCGATTTTGAGGCCTGTACGGGTGAGATTTTGTGTACGTTTGTACAACAGGGAGGAGGAGAGGTAGGTGTACGTATTGTAACTGTTACGGCTCACGTGATCTGTACAAGTAGTACAATTTAATTAAAGTACGCTGTACTCTAGTTAAAACAGCTAAGACTATAGGTCCCTAGAGATGCAAGATTAAGGTCTAATTAACTATAAAATAACTAGTTCTCCCTAGTAACAAGAGCAGATAGGACTAGATAAGGCCTGTAAGGCAGCAAGAGGCGTGGTGTGAGGGGTATTAATTAGGAAACACAGGTCACAGAAAGGGAATGCAGGATAGGGGGTAACAAGAGTAAACCTTAGGGTCAGAGGCAGAGGTACGGAGGCCTAGGAGCCTATATACCCCGTGCTAATCCTAGGGTACTAAGGGGTTAGATAGCTGTAACATAACCGTGTATACAAACTTCCTAAAAGGGTAATACAATCTGTACTACGTACTGTACCTAGGGCATCATTAAACGTACGGTACGGCTCACGAACTCGGTACGTTCGTACTGAACACGTGACCGTTACGGTTCACTTTGTACGGACCGTAGTACGGCCCGTTGGAAGCCCTGTGCTAATCCACGTGAGAATCTCGTTATTAGTCCAAGGACACGCATCCGTCCAAGGATACGATTTCTCATGTGTCCAAGAGAGCAGCGCGACCGGTGATTTAACGAATGCGTAGGGCGGCGTTTACGGTTTTATGGACTACAGGAGCTAGTATCCAGAGCCCTGAGTCGCGAACCGCTGGCTTCGTTCTAAGCTTGCTTTTTCGGCCGCGGTGTACGGCACGAGTGCGTGCTTTGCTGTGAGCAGGGGATGGGTGGCCTATTTCGGGGGGTTATCTCGCACCATGTTGATGTGGGAGGCGAGGCAGTGCAAGAGGTAAAGGAGGCCAGGGTGATGTAGGCCGGGTGGTTGAGCAAAAGCATGAGTTTGTGGCAGATTTCGGCGTATTGGGGGAGGGCAAAGCTGGGTTTAGTGATGTGTTAGGCGAAGTCGAAGTTCAGGGTGCTCATGGCGATGATATGGAAGGAAAAGTTGGATGGGATAGAGGGTTTGGCGTTGGAGAGAATTGGGAGCAGCTTGCGGACTTCGAGGAAGGGTCCAGGCCCTAGTAGAATGGTGTCAGGTTATATTTTCCACGGGGATTTAATAAGGTTAGAATAGATAGGGGTGGAAGATAAATCACACCAAGGAAACTTGAACAGCATACCTAACAACATACATCCATGAACAAACAACATTGGGATCGCCTTCCCATTCATACTCCGTTATCACACAAATGCACGTTAACCTCACCGAACTTATCGATATTAATCTTGCTCCGATAATTCGGCAACCCGTTCACTCCAGCTTCTTCTATCCGCCAATCAAACAGGACCTTCTAATAGGATGCTTGGCGATCGACGTCGGAGAGAGGAGCCACGTAAGGCCATTGAACGGGAACGTCGTCAAATTCGTCTGGGAAGTCTGCGTCAGAGAGTTTCCGGTCGAGTTTTTTGAGGGCGGAGTCTAGGACGGAGATGGTGCAGGGTGATAGGGAGGGCATTGTGGGGTAGAATAAAAGACGAACTGGTTTGAGAGAAAAATATAAAAAGTAAGATTATATACTGACTGGAACGCAGAAGCGGGATTAAGGAGAAATAAAAAAGCTCGGAAAATAACTGAGGATGTGGTGTTTTTACTCCCTATCTACCTTCGTGGAATTGTGTGACAGCGTGTAGAAGCTATGATGTCAATGTGTAAGTCACTGGCAGGGCGCGGCTGAATCTGACGAAATGCCCTTGTTTAGTGAGGAGATAGTTGGTAATAACGATGTTCCTGGAGAACGAAGAGAGCAAAGGTGTATCAGGAGTGATGTGGGACTGGAAGGGCTCCTGGTGTAGGAAGATAGGATTACTCAACTGACTCGATGTTAGCTGCTCTAGGAGATCAACTGACCCTTACGGGTTGGCAAAAAATCTTAGATGATGGGTTGTGAGATCTAAAAATTACGTCGGGGGTGGTGAGTGTTTACAAAGCTCGGCGCTATTGTGCCTTGCAAAACAAGAGGTATTCCTATGCAACTCAACAATCCTCTGCAGCAGACTGTATTGAAACCAGCCGTTTCTCTGCATACCATTATAATATAGTCTGCTATCTTAGACTTACAGTTACAATTACTACAGCTGTAAGGCATAAATATACTATTCCGCACACAAATCAACTGTTGGTTGATTATTTGTACCTTTTTGGTTGTGAAGGCGGAGTGGTGTGGAGACCTGCCCTTCCAAAAGCTGCCACGATTTTCTCCCCGCCTGACTATTTCCAAGAGGACTTAGATCAGCAAAGCGCCCCCAAGTCTAATGCAACACCGTTTTGCGTCGCCATCCAGACAAGGGTCAACAGCCCCAACTTCTTTGTATAGTTTAGCGTCGGATATAAGTATCACGTGTTTGAGACGTAAATAGAAAGTTATTAGATATCAGACTAACGTTGGCAACTAACGGTATACCGTTAGAAAGCAATATTTTTGCTACCAGCACATGACCTTCTCTATTTTCCGAAAGGCTCTAAGCTATCGCCACCTCAACCTCCCTAACATATAAATTTAAACCTCCTGTGACGGAGGTGGGTGGGGAGGAGGCCCAAGAAATTCCAATACCAACAAGCGACCAGAACTAGTACCAAGGGCAATATTGTTCTCATAAACACCGGAACAAGTCACTTGATACTGGGGAGGGACAATGAGCATAGATTGTGTGTTGTAGGTTACCCATTGACCGTTTACCGATATACTTTGGAAAGCACCTGAAGCTGTATGGCCCTCGAGCGTCTGCAGCGGCCGGCCTGTGTTCGCATCCCACAGTCGAACC